GACTATTGCTGTTTCCTTAAGTGTAAATGCTCACACTAAAAACTGAACAATCTTTCCCAAGTCTCTTAAAGCTGGCTCCAGCACACCTCTGCCTATATCCCAGCTTCCAACCTTGAGAAGAAAAATACTAACAAGCTCTGATTATTTTCACTGCCAGGCTGGTTACGAAGTACCAGTACCTCTTGCCCCAAGGTCAAGTCCCAATTTTGTTGGCAGCTTTTGTGAGTGAGGGGAGTATGGGGTAATAATCTTGTAATGATGAAGTTGGTAAGAAGGATTTGCACTTAGTAGGCATTTAATACACATTTGTTAAACTGTATAACATTCACTCCTATTTACATAGTGCTTTAAGCTTTACAAAGGCCTTCTATCAAAATGGTTCAGTGAGGTTTATATTGCAAAGGTTATTATTCCAATTTTACAAATGATGATCACTCAACCATTCAGAGATCTAGATTTCTTCTGAATGGTTGAGTGATCATCAGAGGGAGAGGGAGAGGGAGAGGGAGGTTGGAGTTTCCACTCTCCTGGCTTGATGGTTGCTGTAGTCTTGGGGTCACTGCCAAGCTCTTTTTGGGAACCATACCATCTCCCTTCTATCCCCCCCCCCCCCCACCCTAGCCCCACATCAGTATTCTGGCTACTAAGTCCCTGTTGGGTCTGGTCTGCTCAGCAGACCTTCCAGCAGTTCTTTCTTTAATGGAGTTTCTTTGGGGAATGAGAGCTCTCCTGCTCTTTTATGATTGAGGGCCAGGGTGGGAAAAACTGAGATTTATGGAGTTGATTTATATAAGTACATATACTACTCATCCCTAGCTAAATTCTTGGGAGTAAATATGGTCCTCATTGGCTTCCCACATTTGGAGAGGATTTGCTTTGGTCTTTGCTGTGAGATGCTAGGGGTCAATCAGGTATTTTTTCAAGTAGCCCCCTGTATTTCAGAAAAAGAAGGGAAGCAAGGCCTTTGGAAAGGATTTAGCTCAGTTTCCACTCTTCTCTTTCAGGGCCAATTACTGGCAGTTTTTGCCTATGTCCTCAAGTCCCATCTCTGGGACCTTAGCTCATTATGGAATCAGGACAGAGTCCTCTGCCTGAGTGAGTCTGGCCTGCCCACCAGCCAGTGAATCAGACTCATGGATTATGGCTTTAAGATCGGTTCACTCTTTTTGCTTTTTTGTCACCTTTAGGACAAGAGATAAACTTCTCCATTTAGCTTTGAAAACTCTACTAGCTTGAAAACACCGAACTAGCTTTCCAACTTCAGCAGACATTATTCTCCCTCCTGTACCCTGTGATCCTGCCAAACTGACCTTCTCCCTGTTCCTCACACATGACATGCTATTTTTCACCTCTGTACTTTTGCAGTGGTCCTACCCCTTGCCTGCAATGGGCTCCCTCCTCCCTTCTCCCTTTCTTGGCCCTCCCAAACTTCTTTGTTAATGCCCTGCCTCCCAAACTGCCTTGTATTGACCCATTTTGTATGGATTTGTGTTTATTCATTTTATACTTACACTGTATGTATTTATTCATATACTTGTCTCCCCCATTAGAGCATAAGCTCTTTGTGAGTAAGGATTGTTTCATCCTTAATACTTGTATCCTCAGCACCAGGCATGCAATTAATAAATACTTTTTTATCGATTGTTTGAATGATTGGGTTGCCTTTATGAGGAAAAACATCTGGGACTTTCCTCCTTGAATGGAAGGGTCTTTCCAACTCTTCCATGTCCTGCCAGAAGGGATCTTAGACATCATCTTTTAGTCCAACCCCTTCATTTTACAAATGACAACTAAACAACAGAAGCAGGATTTGAACCTAGGTCCTCTGACTTAAAATTCAAGTGTTCTTTCCATTACATTTTTACATATATAAATATACATATATACATATGAAAATGTGCATATATATATTTCCATTATATATTTGGGGAAATTTCCATAGACCCTATGTTTGTTGAACCTTCTGACAGATTTTATTTTGAAAAATATTGGAAGGGCAAAGTGAGGTTCATTTTAGGATAATAAATTTAAAACCTTGGAGAATATCTATCCCAGCCTTATCTATCTATATTTATTCATTTAATTATCTATCTATTTATTATTTAGTTATGGTTCTTTTAAAAAGTTATTTAGTGTTTTATTTCCTCCAAATTACGTGTAAAAACAATTCTTTAACATTCATTTTAAAACTTTGTGGTCCAAATCCTCTACCTTCCTCCTTCCCCACCTCCCTTATTGAGAAGGCAAGCAATTCAATATAGATCATACATGTGTAATCATGCAAAACATATTTCCACATTAGTCATGTTGTGAAAGAAAACATAGACCAAAAAGAAACCTCAACAAAAATAAAGAAAGTTTTAAAATATGCTGTATTCAGACACCGTCAGTTCTTTTTCTGGAGATGGACAGCATTTTTCATCATAAGTCCTTCAGAGTTGTCTTTGATTGCTGGATTGCTGAAAATAGCTAAATCATTCACAGCTAATCATCTTTCAATATTACTGTTACTTTGTACACAATACATTTCACTTTGCATCAGCTCATGTAAGTCTTTCCAGGTTTTGCTGAGAGCATCCTGCTCATCATTTTTTATAGCACAATAGTATTCCATCACAATCACATAGCATGATTTATTCAGCCATTTCCCAATTGATGGGCATACCCTCAATTTCCTATTCTTTGTCACCAGAAAAGAGTTGCTATAAATATTTTTGTATATATAGGTCCTTTTACTTTTTTAAATCTCTTTTTGGATACAGACTTAGTAATGGTACTGCTAGATCAAAAGGTATGCATGGTTTTATAGTCTTTGGGCATAGTTACAAATTGCTCTACAGCATGGTTGAATCAGTTCACAAAGCCACCAAGAGTAAATTAATGTCTCATTTTTCCCACATTCCCTCCAACATTGGTAATTTTCCTTTTCTGTCCTATTAGCCAATCTAATAGGTAAGAGATAATACCTCAGAATTGTTTTAATTTGCATTTCTCCAATTAATAGTGATTTAGAGCATTTTTCATATGGCTTTGGATAGCTTCAATTACTTAATCTAAAAACTTCATATTTTTTGATCATTTATCAATTGGGGAATGGCTCTTATTTTTATAAATTTGACTCAGTTTTCATTTGAGAAATGAGGTCTTTATCAGAGAAACTTGCTTCAAAAATTTTTTTTCACGGTTACAATTGCTCTGTAATTTGGCTATAATATTCCTGGGAGTTTTTCTTTGAGGATCTCTTTTAGGAGGTGATCAATGGATTCTTTTAATTTCTATTTTACCCTCTGGTTCTAGAACATCAGGACAGCTTTCCTTGATAACTTCTTGGAAGATGATGTCTAGGCTCTTTTTCTGATCGTGGTTTTCAGGTAATCCAATAATTTTTAAATTTTCTCTCCTGGATCTATTTTCCAGTTCAATTGTTTTCCCGATGAGATATTTCACATTGTCATCTTTTTGCATTCTTTTTGTTTTTGTTTTATTGTTTCTTGATTTCTCATAAAGTTATTAGCTTCAATTTGCTCAATTCTAATTTTTAAGGAATTACTTTCTTCACTGAGCTTTCATACTTCCTTTTCCATTTGACCTATTCTACTTTTTAAAGAGTTTTTTTTCTTTAGTTAATTTTTGTGCTTTTTTCCCCCCCATTTGGCCAATCCTGCTTTTCAGGGCATTCTTCTCCTCTTTGGCTTTTTGGACCTCTTCTACCATTTGGCCTATTCTGTTTTTTAAGGTGTTACTTTCTTCAATATTTTTTTTTTTTGGTATCTCCTTTACCAAGCTGTTGACTTTTTTTTTCATGATTTTCTTGTATCACTCTCATTTCTCTTCCCAATTTTTCCTGTACCTCTCTTACTTGATTTTCAAAATCCTTTCTGAGCTCTGAGATAAATTCATATTTTCCTTGGAGGCTTTGGATGTAGGAGTTTTTACTTTGTTATCTTCTTCTGAGTGTGTGTTTTGATTTTCCTTGTCACCCTAGTAACTTTCTATGGGTTTCTGTTGTTTACTCATTTTTGTAGTGCAGCTGTTTTCAAATATACTTCTAGGGACCACTAAGTTTTCAGTTCTTCCAAGGTGGTATAATCTAAGGAGAAGTGCATTTACTGCTCTCCTGGCCTGTGCTCTGGTTTATGAGTGACCACAAGCACTCTTTTCTGCCCTGGAACTGTGATGGGGGTCCCTGCTCCACTGTGGATGCAAGTTCTGGTGGACTAGTGCTCTTTCACACCCTGAAACTGCCACCCAGGTCAGTGACCCAGATGTGAGTATGGGCAAAGCAACAGAGTCTTGTCCCCCCAGTGCGAGCAAAGAGACCCCTATGATCTCCTTTTGACAAGTTGTGCAATCCCCTTACCTTCTGTGGGCTGAGAGCTCTGGAAGAAGCTGCTGCTGTTGCTGATTTAGTGGCTCCCAAGCCCGGTTCCTGATTTGCTGGTGCCTGGTCTGCACTGGCGCAGCCTGTGTTGGACTGTGCTACATTCTTACCCAAGTGTGACCTTTCCTGCCAACCTTCTAATTTGTCTTTGGCTGGAAAATTATTTCACTCCATCCTTTTGTGGATTCTATCACTCCAGGAATTGTTTTATGGAATCATCTAAAGGTGTTTGTAGGTATTTTGGGGAGAGCTCAGGTGAGCTTTTCTCCACCATCTTGGCTCCATCCCCAGCCTCATTTTAAGATGAGAAACAGAACCAGAGAGGTTGAGAGATTTGCCCAGGGTCATATAAATTGTAAGTGTAGCTAGGGTTTGAACTCAGGACCTCTGACTCCAAGTCAAGTGCTTTTTCCACTAAAATATGCTGAGGATCAAATCATACCCATGGAGCAATGGGGCATGTTCATGATACTGTGTAGGATGACTCACATTTGTCTGCTTTTTTCTAGGATGGAAAGGAGAGAGTGCCCTGAGTCTTTGATGAAACAGCCCTGTGGCATGGTGGAGGGCATGCCTTAGATACTTTCCCCCACCCTTTATGAAGTAAAACTTGACTCCTTCAGATCAACTTGGCAGGAGATGGCCTCAAGAAGACTTTCTTCAGTGCTGCCTTCACCTCCTGATTCCTCAGGCTGTACACAAGGGGGTTGAGCAAAGGAGTCACTACAGTATAGGTCACTGCCACCAGCTGGTCCTTGTCTGATGCAGACTTGGATTTGGGCCGGAGGTAGATAATGGAGGCACATCCATAGTGGACAATGACTACGGTGAGATGGGAGACACAGGTGGCAAATGTCTTAAGCTTCCCTTCAGCTGATGGGATCTTAAGGATGGTGTTTACAATGAAGCCATAGGAGATTAGAATTAGTACAAAGGGAACCATAATGACCAGGATGCTGAGGCTGAATAGAGCTAATTCCTTCACATGGGTGTCTGTACAGGCCAGTTTGATAACAGGTGCCATGTCACAGAAATAGTGATTGACCCTGTTGGGGCCACAGAAGGGCATGTCACAGATCAGATTGGTGGCCACCAGGGCAATGAAGAATCCTGTTGCAGCAGACACAGATATCAGTCCCAGCCCCAGCTTCTTGTTCATGATGATCATGTATCTCAAGGGGAAGCAAATGGCTACATAACGGTCATAGCCCATCACAGCAATGAGGAAGCAGTTGGTACATGCAAAGCCTAGAAAGAAGAAGAGTTGGGTGGCACAGGCCACAAAGGAGATGGCCTTGGTGTCAGAGAGCAAGTGGTCCAGGAGCTGGGGGATAATAACAAAGGTATAACAGGTTTCAGAAAAAGAGAGGATGAAAAGGAAGCCATACATAGGAGTGTGGAGAGACCTGCTACAGCGGATCACAGTCATGATGGTGGCGTTGGCCAACAGGATTGTCATGTAGAGAAGTAGGAAGACCACAAAGAGTAGCATCTGTAACTCACCCAGGCTGGAGAAACCCACAAGTATAAACTTGGTGACCCTAATGGTTTGGTTGATTCTTTGCATCTTAGCAACTTCTTTCTAGGAATACATTAAATCAATGTGTTAAAGTTGTCATCATTATAATTTTCATTATTACCATTATATACTTTAGAATTGGAAAGGACCTTACACATCCAAAAGTTCAACCTTGGGAAGTGACTTACACAGAGGATGTAATCATAAATCACAGTAGAATGATGAGAACTCATCTTCTATAGCACAGGAAAATTAAAAAAAAATACTTTGTACACAACAAGTGCAAGATGAGGAATTGAGTAGTGAACACAGTAGAGGAACAGAGTAATGAAGGACTTGGACCCTACCAAAAAAAATCTAGCTTCAGAAATTGGTTCTATCATTTATTAGCTGTGTGATGTTGGGCAAGAAATGTAGCTTCATAACCTCAGTTTCCTCATCCTATGAATGAGGATAATGATGCTAATAATTCATAGGACTCTTAAGAGGGTCCCAATATACCCTACTTTATATGGTCCATGGTCACATAATGAGTAAGTGACAAAGCTGGGGTTCAAACCTAGGAAGGCCCCTTGCCTCCAATTTAGGGTGCTATTCACTGCACCACACTGACTCCCCTTTCTAAGCCTTTGTTATAAGTACTAATTGAGTCATAGTATACTAAGAATTATGGCCAACTTTTAATAACTTTTTTGTGGTTCTAGTGAATTAATGAAATTTTAAAAGAGCATTTATTAAATGTTTACCATGTTCCTAGTGCTAGGGATATGAATACAAAAAAGAAAGATAGTTTTTGCTTTCAAGGAGCTTATATTCTAATAAGAGAAAACAATACACATAAGAGAGTGGTGACCAGAGAGGGGTGTTTTGGACACAAGGATGGTGAGTTGAGCCATAGCGCAAAAACATATGAGCGTGTAGAAAAAAAAGGTCATCACTAGGATCCAACATGGGTTGGTTAGGAAAAAGTCATATCAAACTAAGCTTAATACCTTAAAAAGGCTAAAATGATTGATTGGTACTAAACACTTGGAAGAAATAATGGACTTTAGTATTACCAAAAAATTTTTTTGAGAAAACCTCAATGGGTATTTGCTCTTAGGCCTATGTTCCCATTTCCATGAAATCATTATGTCAATAACCTGTATGTACATTAGGGCCATCCTTTATGTATCAGAAGGGAACAAATACGTGGCCTTTGAAAAGTTAAAAGTTGAAGGACACCCAAAGTATAATGGATAGGCGTATGGTGGGCTAGAGAAGTCTGCAACACGTTGCTAATGAAGAATTATACAGAAGACATAGAATGCCATAAGATAGTTATAAGCCTGAAAAAGGAAAGGCAGACATATCATCTGAGTGCGGGAAACCAGATGGATAGCCTGCCACACAATGTCAACTCCACCCTCCTTAACATTGGTGGACTCCTTGGGGGAAGATTTATATGAGGACATAGACAAGAGTTATGTAGGGTAAGAAGTAATAGATAGGATGAATGGGCTGTGATCTACATTATGGAAGGGACTGTGAACATCAGTGAGGAGACATTTGAAGTGCTGAAGGTGATAGTTCATGAAATTGGCAAATATTGGCAATAAATGGTTAACACCAGCCCATTACTTCCTTTGCCAGAACGCATAACCTAAGGCCATGCATCTCATGAGTTGCAAAACCAGGATTGGAACCCAATTTTTCCTTCAAATTCTTCTGGGAATTTCCATCACCAAACATGGGGTTTGTGCCCAGAGTATTCAAGTGTTTTAATATTAGCTTGAGTTACATATATTGGTGGTCAATAACCTGTCTCCCTAAATGATATAATGCATTCCAAAGTTAAATAAACATTACTTTTGCTTCAAACTCTGTGACTCCATGGTACACAAATGCATCTATGTTCTCACTGAAGTTGGTACTAACACCAGTGATGCAGATCTCAATCAATCCATGTCTGATCATCCTGTAGAACTCTTGTTGCTATATTCTCTCATCACCTTCCCATAGGAGGTATATTCAATATGCTAAAGACCTCCCTGTTTTTTCTCTTAAATTTGCAACATTACCATGGGATCACATGGGCTGTCCATTCCCCACTCTCACCACAGTCACCATATTAGTCCATTTTATACTTTGATGACACATTTCTGGAATGGCATCCTTTATGCTCATTGTATGTTGTAAATCTACATCCTTTATGATTCCTTGTTGGTAAAATATTTTGCCCTGTTTTACCCACCATGCACTACTTCACTTGCCTTTTAGGTGGCCTTTGGTCTTAATTCTTTGGAGACTATTCCATGAGGCAGCTGTTCATATATACTATTCATATATAGTCAACTATTCCATGGGCCAGCTAGGTGGTGCAGTGGATAGAGCACTGGGCTTGGAGTTAGGATAGACCTAAGTTCAAATCCAGTCTCAGACACTTACTAGCTATGTGACCCTAGACAAGTCAACCTCTGTTTGCCTCAGTTTTCTCATGTCTAAAATGGGAATAATAATAGATCTTACTTCTTAGGGTTTTTGTGAGGATCAAAGGAGATCATAATTGTAAAGTGCTTAGCACAGTGTCTGGCACATAGTAAGTGTTATATTATTATTTGAGTTACAATCATAAAACAGCAGGCCAGGTCATCATGAGGACATTTAAGGATGAAACTGGGAGAACTACAGACAGATGGAAAATATATGCTGGGATTTTTAAATTATAAACTTTTCTCACCACCAAGAAGAATGTCACCACTGCATCCCATGTTTAACAACCTCATATGTGATTCTAGAGGAAGCGAAAATGGGAGTGAAGGGGACAAAGGTGAGGAAAATAGTTGAATTAGATCGAGCAAGGTCTGTACTGGAGGTGACTTAGTTTTGAGTGCATTGCTGGACTGATTTTCAAAGTATTTGAAGGAAGAGAAGATACCAAAAGTACAGGGGAAAAATCGGTCCTTATTTGTATAGCTGCCGCCCCTCACCAAGGTGATAGGGAGAACACTGAGGACTAGAAACCCATATGTCTTGCTTTCCCATTGATATAAACTTTTTATAAGCATACTATACACATTTATGTCTTTCTAAATTTTAGCTTCATCTTTTGTAAAATGGGTGTAATAATACTTTCAAGATCTAAATCTTAGAATTATTATCAGGAGAGTTATTTGTGATCAGGAGGAGGCAATTTGCATGTGAACTCTTATTATATAGTACTTGCTGGATCAGACCTCATTGGGTCTTCCCTACATTCTTGTGAAGTACATCTATAACAGTATAATTATCATCCCTTATTTTTCAACGGAGGAAACCTAGGCTTAGAGAGGCTTTGGTTTATGGAGGGTCACGTGCCTAATATGTGATAGAATCCACAGGCTAAGTCAGGTCTTCTGAATCCAAATCCAGGGTTCTTCTTTACAACACAACTGCTCCCACTTCCCCCCCACCCCCACCTTTGAAATGGAGATAGTAACACTTGCATTGCCGGCTTTACAGGGTTATCAAGAAATCAGCACTTCAAGTACTTTTAAGTACTTTATACTTAAGCAAAACTATGCTGGACCCAGCAGAACCACAAATAAAAGAGCTAATTATTAAATTTTCAATGTGAACATTTATCCCCTTGGAAATCAGCAAATGCTACAAATCAGAGCTTTATTTACTTTTTTGTTGATTAGGTATACTTAAGAAAGTGATGGAGAAAATGATAATAATGCAAATTAAACTCGAAGTGTGTCATATATTCACATACATGCATGCACATATATACATATATGTGCATACACACATGTATATATGTATATAAATACACACATATACATTTGGAAAGCTGGCTAAACATTTACAAGTACACTGTTGCCTATCATCCAATAAAATCAAATAAATACATTTCACACAACTGACCAAATAAATGTAGCAGATGATAGACGGTGGGGTGGTGGTAGAGACGAGTGCAGGAGGGGGTCTGGTTGGGGGAATTCCAAAGCATGGTAGGTAGTACAGGACCTGAGTAAAAAAAGTTTCACCTCCTTTCATCAATCCAGGCAGCTTCCTGTAGGAGGTAGAATTCTAGGCACTGTCAGAATGATCAGAAAGTTCCAAGAGAGAAAATTACTCAATTCTCATTTTTTGAGCAAATCTGTGGATTATTCATGAATTATTTACATAGCACCTGAATCACCCCCTCTAGTACTTTGGCCCCCAAAGAATTACCCCAGGTTTGAGATATGGTAAATTCCTGTTTGGAGGCAGCTAGATGGCTCAGTGGATAGAGTGGATGATATAATAAACAGCAGGCCAGACTTAGAGTTAAGAAGATTCTTGGTTCAAATCCAATCTCAGATACTTACTAGCTGATAACTCACTTAAACTTTGAGCCTCAGTTTCCTCAATTGTAAAATGAGGATAATAATAACACTTCTCAAGGTTGTTGTGAGGTTCAAATGAGTTAAGTATAAAGTATTTTACAAAGCTTAAAGTGCTATATAAGTATTACATATCATTATTATTATAATTACCAGGGCAACTTACCTTTCTATAGTATGGGGTTGCTGTTGTCCTCTGTTGTTGTTATCACACTGCTCTATCCTACTCGTCTCTCCTGGGCATCACTCCACTGTTATAGTGGTTACTGCCAGGCATCTCTGCTGGTCTTGTGGTTTTTCTTGAGTGGCACCATTGATTTTGTGATCACTAAGCATGTAGTAAAATATTTTAAAAAAGAAATTAAGAACTCTATCCCCTTTATTCCTTTTCCAACCAGAAGTGGTAAGTTTAGCTGTGTAAATCAGAACTGGTCTGCCTCCATTTTCATTTGTGAAATTGTGTTGGCTGTAGCAACTCCTAAAGGCTTTCTACTCTAAGGTGAAATGACAACATCCAGACTTGTGAAAATACATATCCCTAAAGATCGGAAGTAAGGTTTTGGTGATGTTTCTACTAAGCAGAATAGCAATGTTAAAGTTTCACTGTTTTATTTGAATCATCAGATTTTGTTTTTAGAGTACTAGATTTAAAGTCAAGGAACTCAGGTTTGAATCTTTATAGTAGCACATTAGGTATGT